CTCCTCCTGGGCCTGGGTGAGCTGTGCCGTGCCCTCCGCCTGGCGAGCCCGCGACGCCTGGACCAGCTCTTGGCCTCGCTGCACAAACTCTGAAAGTGGAATAAGCCAGGACGTCACAGGCGGCTCTCCCGGCAGAACCTCCCTGGCTTCTTCTGCCAGCACCAAGAGGGGCGCCGCTGAGGGGCGAACCCAGTTTATTTCAGTTTCATTATTCGGGCACACGTGCTCCAAAAGGCTGGTGTCAGGAGCCGGCGGGAGGGAGGGAGCGGGGAGAGAGGCCTTAGAAGAGATGTGAGCGCACGCCCTCCGCCACGTCCAGCCGGCCAGGAGTGGGCCCTCCCGGGGAACCAAATCTGGGCACACCGAGTTGGACTTCCAGCTTCCAGAACAAATGTCTGCTGTCCGGGCCCCTGTAGGTACCATCTTGTCACCGTGGCCCGAGCCAAGACACCCGGAGACTCCCCGGTCCTACAGGATCCAGGCCAGTGTGGGGGTCAGAACCTGCTGGGGGACTCGCGCCCACCATACCATATGGTGCCTCACAGCCCCGTGCCCACCATACCATATGGTGCCTCACAGCCCCGTGCCCACCATACCATATGGTGCCTCACAGCCCCGTGCCCACCATACCATGATGGTGCCTCACAGCCGCGTGCCCACCATATCATGGTGGGTGCCTCACCCAAAGAAAAGGTCTGGGAAAGAGCCTGCCAGGCTGCAGGACGAGGTACCTTGTCAGCATATCCCGTGCACAAGAGCTCTCCCGTGCACTCGCACCCTCCCGTGCACACGCACCCTCCCGTGCACGCGCACCCTCCTGTGCACACGCACCCTCCCATGCACGCGAACCCTCCTAGACAGCCAGTGAGGACGAGATGTGAGCTCTCCCGTGCACTCGCACCCTCTCGTGCACACGCACCCTCCCGTGCACGCGCACCCTCCCGTGCACGCGCACCCTCCCGTGCACACGCACCCTCCCGTGCACACGCACCCTCCTGTGCACACGCACCCTCCCGTGCACGCGAACCCTCCTAGACAGCCAGTGAGGACGAGAATACTTATAACGCTGTATGATGCTCACTCTGTGCCCACAGCACCTCTGTGCTCTGCCTGTGGAAGCTTATTTAAACCGCCAGACAGTCCTGTGAAGAAAGCTCACTACCCCATCTTCATGGAGGAGACTGAGATGCTGGCCACCAAAACAGACCCGGCCCCAGCTCTATCTCCATGATGCCTCCCCGGCTCCTGCTCACAGCGCTGCCCCCTGCAGGCCATTGTCTGCACAGGCCTCGGAAAGCAAGGCGAGTCACTTTGGGCCTTTGGGGCCCGGGCCCAGCAGGATGTGTGGTCCTCACGCACTCAGACCCTGAGGGCTCCCAGCCCGGCCCACCTGGGGGCCACGTACCTGGCAGAGCGCCGCCGCGGCCTCGGTGGCCCTGAAGTTCTCCTCTTCCTCCAGGTCACTGCGCGTCACCCTCTGCCGCTCCAGGACCCCGTGAAAAGCCTGAGAGTAAATGCAGGAGCTGAATCGGACAGAAAAATGCACACCCCCCCCCCCCCGAAAATGCACAGTTCTCTCCACCTGCCCCCAACTCTCAGATCAAAAGGACGTTCACCCTTGGTTTATATCTGAGAAAAGTGAGGTACGGGGCCACGGGGCTTCTGTGGCTTGCAGGCTGAGGCCACGGCAGGGACCAGCGAGCCTGGACCCCAGGAAAGCCATGGACTGAGCTTTGGTCCAGCCAGAAGGCGGAGGTGCTGCAGGCCGCCCTGACTGCTCTCTCCTGGACACAGGCCGCCCGGACAGCGTCCTCTGACTTAGTGCTGCAGGCCCTGCCCAGGCCTGGGAGACCGGCCCCGCGGAGCCCTGGTCACGGGTGTGCAGACCAGGAGCCGGGGATGCAGGCTCAGAGGACTCAGTCACTGGGCAGACCCACGGGAGGCCGAGAAGTGCCCCCGTCTGCTGGATGCCGGTGACAGGGCCTGAGCCACGCCAGGCCAGCTGGGTCGCG